AAAACTTTCACTGATGCTGAAATAAGTAAACTTGACAAAAAACAGAGATTTTCATTTTATTCATTGGTCGTTCAATACTTTCGCATCAAGTCAAAAATCACACAATGTCTATTCCAGTCACGGCAAATTCGAAGACAAAGATTTAATGTGCATTAAGCACGGGCCATGTTAGAGCCTTTTACCAAACTTACAGACCGTTGGTACTACGAGGGAAGAAGTCGACCTTTTCGAATGCTCGATTTCAGAAGGCGACATGGCCCAAGAAGATATTTTAGAATTAATAATTATTTAGAATTAATAATTTAGAATTAAAACTTAAATTGATAATGATAGCAGCTACATCATTGTTTTTTGCCTTTGTCTTGGGGTCCAGGTAAAACTTCCCTTAGCACTAACCTTTCCCCAAATAATGCTTTTTTAAGTAAAAATTCAAAGATTAAGCAATAGCACTGGCAAGTCAAATGTCATCAATAGCTTTTAATGCCAATGTTGTTTACCTGACAGAATTATGAATCTGGAAGCCGCGCCAGATCACGAAGGGTCGAACACTGTTCACTTTCTATAACTATATTTTCGATATTTGCCCTCTTGTGCAACAGGTAAAGTTGAAGTGACATTCCCACTCACCGCGTAACCACAATACGACAGAACTGGCACAACAGCAATAATTGTTACAATTTGAAACTTTTGTGGTTTTTGTCGGCCACTTAAACTCTTTGCACTTTGACAAAGAGCCGTCTATCAGTTGTTGCCAACTACTTTTAGTGGGAAGTGCATCCAAATACTAAAGGGCATTCTTTTTATGGTGTTCACCCGCCATAATTGTTGAAGTCCAGTTTAAGTTAAAGTTCACGCAGCTGTCGTGTCTTTTGCAACACGAATTGGTACACATTTATTGTTGTTACGGATAATTGATGTTGTGCTATAGGGGGGCTTTGGGAGTTCCCCCTCCCTTGATTAGGGTGAACTCAATTTCCACTTCTTTCAATTTCATTGTTTTTGAGACTTTTGAGAACCTTGTTGTTGTTTAATCGTAACACACCCCTGGTACGATGCTTTCTTTCTACATTTTTACTTTGTGTTAGCACATTTCTTTCACGTGCTTTAATTCATCTTGCTGCGATAGGCGCAGACATTGGGACGCCCGGAAACGCCATGAAATCTTTTTTTTGGGGGGGGGGGGGGGGGGGGGGTTCTGCTTCAAGGATTGAAAATAAATAGTGATAAAGAAACTTGCTTGAGGTTTCCAAAACCCGTGTTTATTGCCGGATAAAAAAATTGTTGTGTCATCCTTACAGTTACAATTTATGCTTTCGGACACAAACATCCACAGATCACTCAAGTTATATATTTAATAAGATAGCTCCGAGTAGAGAACCTTGTGGTATTCGCATGTTGTCCTCTAACAGTAAGATAACCTTGTATCAAAAAGTGCAAGAACACTTTTAAAATTATATGCCTTACCCTATCAGTATATATCATAACCCCCGTAAAATCACTCCTCGGCAACAAATATCATCCAGCCTGTGTTCCAGACCCCTAACTTCCAAGCAAGTCACTAGAGATTCCCATGAATGGCAAATAGATAACAGCCCAAGCGAGTCGACCAAAAAAGCCTCTTGTTAAATAGATTCAATGATATCATCGTGATTGAATTGAAACGATGTACAAAAGGTCTATTTACCTTCTTAAGGGATGTAGAGACTTGAGCGATGTTCCAGGCACACTCTTAATTTGCTCAGTTTTCATGTAAATCGCTAAATTTGTTACTCTTGGCTAGCCAGTATAAATTGAAACAATCGTTTAATGGTTGCTTTTATATGAGTGAACTTACCCTAAAGCAGACTAACATTAAGCAATTTTAAGGATTACATGAAAGATAGATAAAAAGCTACTACCTAGCTTAAATACATGCGCAATTATTTTCAAGTAGCCATTTCGTAATCACTTTTCATTACTTTGGGAGTGAATACCAGGTTTTCTGCCCTTAAAAACTTAATAGTCTGAAAGCATAATGGTAGAACTGATATCTGGAGTATCAAAATGGTTCTCAAGTCGAAGCTTGGTTTGTTTAAGACACATGATAGTCTCCCATGAAAATAGGATAAAACTTGTTAGGAGTTTTATCAATGTTAAGTATCCCGCCAAAGTCTTTCTGGCCTCGAAATTTACAAAGAATAAATGATAAAAGTTGATTTTATGAAGCGCCTCTACATCATACAATATTCTGTGGGGCATACTATTCATTGGTACAAGTAAGTTACATCAAATGAAAATAATTTTTCCAATTACAATGAAGACCCTTAAAAGTTGGAGTAATTTTCAATAAAAATGATAGCTTAAATGCTGGTTCAAAAAATATGCTTTAACTGCTTTCTTGAAAATAGTGATGGTTTTCGATTGACTCATATGGAGAGGCAAAGAGTTAAAGGTACGACACACTCAAATGCTTTTTCATCAAAAGCCACAGTTCTAACTCCAGCAACTCCACGTAGGGACTGGCGAGAAGTAAAGGGCGAAGAAACAGAGAGCATCAGTATTGGGAAATGTAATGTGATAGCATATTAGTAAACTTTCTTTTAAACCTGAGTCAATATTTCTCCTTGATGACTGTGTTTTGTTTTTGTTTTGCCAACAGAGACCAGCAAGAAGCAGAATTAACAAAGGCTAACATTAATCTTAGATAGTCTGGGTTTTAAAGATGGGAAGATTATATTTCTACATAAAAATCATCTTTAAGAATAAACATAGTCCAATCTTATTCTTTTTAGAAGACTTGGAAAACAACTAAAGCTGAGGGATTGAAATAAAAACCTAAGCAAAGGTATCGAGTCAAAACTGACATCGACAGAGTTACCATGTTGACGTTCCGGAACTGCTGTGAGGATTAGAATGTTTATGATGCATTACGAAAGTAGTACCTGGGAAACAAATGGGAGAATTATCTTACCCCATCCCTGGACTCGTACCACAAGAGGCATGGCCTCGACTCTGTTCGCTAAATAAAAGAATGAGAATAGCTAGAATTGTTTACATAAATAAACCTTTAGATGACAACGAATACATTGAACCAAAGTACAAAAGTAAAACAGCTTCATTTCATTCTCTCGCTCAGTTCTAGCTGACCCTAAATTGTAAAATATTGAAAAAAACAATTGTTTGATTTGTACCATTTGTAGCAACATAAATGACAAACACAAAATTTGCCCCGTTGCTGTGTCCCTGAAAAACACGCAACTGTCATGTTCTCCAAATGTATGACGGTGCATGTTATTACCACTGGGCCATCAAGATGTTCCAAGCAAAAGTTTTAATAATAAAATTCTTTTCAGTGTAGGCAAGACAACGCAATGTAGAAGCAGGTATTCGGGGATTCCACTGGCGGCCACTGTCAGATATTTAATTAATGTTGAATTCGCCAAGTTGACAACAAACTGGATAGATTCATAGCAAAAAAAACACACCAAACTGGATAAATTTTCAGCAATCAAAAAGCATAATCACCTGCCGTATAATTTTTTATGAAAAATTATTTATCGCATCGAGCATTTCTATTAGCGTTGCATCCAAACGGCTTGAAATCGGTTTACGACAAAACTCAAAATAGCAATAACATATTTGTTTTCGTAAAAACTAGGTTTATTGAAACCTGGTTCATTTGCGTCATTTGGCCCTGGACGTTGCTGCGTTAGGCTGCCTTAACGAACATCCCAGCCCTTCTCTTCACTTCAACAGAGTTTAGAGTGTATTGCCCTAAGAACAACTTCACAGGAACATTTTTCCTTTTTGTTTGAAGTTTGTACAACAAGAGCTCAAATTAAAGCGAACTTAGGTCAGTATTTTTAGCTATAATTAATCCGACGAACGTATACAAAGTTTTACACATGTTATAAGAATGCAATATTGCTGTGTAATTGTGTCATTTCTGGTTCCAAGTTCCTTATTTGATCCCACCCATAGACACAATATCAAGTTCATTTGTTTGATTAGGAGTTTCTCATATTATATTGGCATTTGCTGATGGAAGTATTGTAAATTGTGAAATATGCAACAGTTTGATATCAAATAAAAACTGAACAAAAGTTTATTGTTAATCAATGGGGCTAATCTCCTTGCTCTGCTGCAAATCCCGCCATTACTGCTGTCACTTTCCCTACTACAACTCATCAAAACAAGGTTCAACAACTAAGATATGATAGCATAAATTTCACCAAAAAATGAAGCAATCCTGGATCTTGTCTCGCCTATTTTCATACGTTTCCACCATGTTTTTCTAATTTAAGTTCATGAATGCAACTGCTAATGGCTGCTAATACTTTTTGAATCAAACTTTCTCACTATCATCAAAACTGCACTGAAAGGCACATTAGTCCTTTATACAACAGGTATAAGTTAAATTTGCGTATCACTTAACAGACAAATTTAAACGTCATCTACGGAAGGCGAGGTTCTCTGCCTATGGTTTATTGTATTAATTTGTTCAAGGCGTCAAGGCCTCTATACATACTGTGAGCATGTTTGGCGACCATAATTTCTAATAAAGTGCTAACCTGTTCCTTGCCTGTTCTGTAATTTGATTGGTTCGAACGAAGGTGCTTTTGCGTTAAGCAAACTGCCTATTATAAGTATTGGACCAAATATTGATCGTTGAGGAACTCCTTGCTCTCTCCTTCGTTCAGTCAATAAGATCAGAGCTTTTCTTACCTTTACCTTAAATGGTCTAGGAAACTAACTATGCACATATTTTAAAATACTCAAACTCTATCACTACATATTGACGTTCGACAGATCATTGGCTTACTCTTTCTTCTTCTGATACACTGGCCCCTCCAATTTGCTTAAGTTTAAACTACATAAGATAATTAAGATAACTAAGTTTAGCTCATACAAGGTAACATTTTTAGCTCATACGATAGACCTCTCAATTCCTGGGAATTTCCCTTTTCAAAATCGAAATTAGAGAATTGCTTAATTAAAACCATATTTTGATCGATCCAATCTGCTTTGCCTTCTTAACTCTTCTGTCCCTCATTAAGAAATAATTCAGCTTGAAGACAAAACTGCTATGTGAAAGTCTGGCAAAACAAAAGAAAACATCTTGATTCGGTGATGTGTTGTTTTGTTGGCAAAAGACAGCTGCTAAAGACATCTTACCGGCTAGCGGTTTACTGTTTATAGTTTGGTACCAGATTAATGCTTGGTGCTTTGTACCAGATTAATACTTCAAATATGCCATATCATTTTTTGTACTGTTTAATCAATTGCAAATAACTACGGAGGTAAGAATGTTGTTAACATAATGTATCTTATTACAGATGTTGGTAAGTACAACGAAAAAATAATCAGAGCTAATGAAGATATTTCCTTATTTAATTTAAGAATTAACCATATGGTAATAATAGATGTTTTATTCTCTAGTAGCTAAATTTCATTATACAAATACAGCAGCGGCCAAATAGGTACTTTTTTACAAGTAACCTAGAACAAAACTAGATGCATCATAAAATTAGATTTGGCATGTTTAATTACCTTGCTCAGTAAGAATAAATACCTTATGCTTTATAAGTGATATTTTTATTAGTTTTGTTTCTTGCCTTTTTTGTAAGAGGACCAAACAACGGCAGTCATGTTTAGCATTTGAGGGGATGGCTAATCAAATCTGAGCTGACATTCATTGACATCTAAGAAATGGATTTCAATCGTATTCTCCCTCTTCATATGGTCTCGTGTCTTCATTAGGAATTTTCGTGATAGTGCAATGAGTGATTAAACTGCCATTGGTAGTTTTGCATTCACCGACGTGCTTTGTCAATAAAGCTCTAATGTTTACATCAACAACGATACTTTACTAATGCAAGGAATCTTTACAACGCAATGAGGCAGTGGCGTAACCAGGGCGCACATGGTTTTAGACGCATCCTCTGATAACGTAATCCTAGAGTTGTATACACTCTTTCTATCTTTGCAAGGTGTCTCTTATTTTCCCATAATCTGGCAAAATTTGTGAGAATAATGCACGGTGACAAGCAAGACAGTATAATAAGTCATATGTATGATTTGCAGAGTCGTCTTAACAGACTGAAATTCCAATGGCAGATAGTATTGCCAAGTTTCAGCTGGCGGGTTTCATTTTCTGCAGTTTCCCGTGGCTGCTTCGAGAGAGCCGCGCTTATTGAAGTAGCCAACAAAATTATCGTCAATTAGTTTTTTGAAAAGCAAAGGTTTCTTTTTGCATATAAAAACTCTTAATGGGCGATAATATTCATAAGTTTCACATAATAATGTAAATTTCTATCCCTAGAAAAAGAAAGCTATGGTTTTAAGTTAAAAAGGCTGTCAAGACAACCGAATTCTAGGCATCAGCCTCGTATTTATACAGAATGAAATCAAATTAAAATGAGGTTACCAATAATTCATCTCGTGAAGAGACACAATCCCTTATTGAAAACACCTACGGAACATAAAGTGCTAAATCCGATTGTTCAATAACCAACAATATATTGAGCATTTTGATTTGAAAGAAAGAAAATCCGTGATCGCGAAAGCGTTATCGCTTCGTTGATTTTTAGCTTAGGTGGACAAGTCGCATTGCTGGCTCATTGTCTGTTTCCTTGTTGTCGTCGAATGAGGATCTTTATCACCGCGCAAGTATCAAAAACACTCATTTCTGTCGAAATTCGCTTACATCTTCTCAACCCTTACTAACAGCAACAGTGAGCAAGACTTATTCTTTCACCTAGCATCGTGTCAGACAGTTGTTGATTTTTCTCCTGACACACCCGAAGGACAAGATGATTCGAGTTGATAGTAAGTTTATTCCTTCGATAATCTTTCTATTTTCATGATAATTTTTTGTCATCGATATGGGTCGCGACATTGCAGACGCTTCTTGTATATTATGACTTAATCAAAGACCGGCACAACAACCCAAAAGCCCAGTTAGCCAGAATCGTGGTGCGTTTGTGCTGAAAGTACTCCAAAGCCCACTGTTCTCAGAGCCCACTGAGAGTCTCGTGGCTAGGATAATGCTTGATGTTTTGTTGCTAATTGTGATTTTATAACATGCTTGCATCGAAGTTTTATTTGGTAAGTATAGTGTTATAGAGCAACGTACACATGCTGCTGCTCCAAAATACTTTGTGATTTTGAAAGTGAGCAATTTACGCACTTTTGAAAATACTTATGAGAAAAGATGAGATTGGCATGTTTTATTTCTGCCGATTTAATCGTGCGTGAAACTTCTTGCCCCTTGGCTCCTAATCACTCTTGAATTTTGATTTACCTGAAGAGTTGATCCACAGATTCTGTGGTTGGGCGTAACGAATAGAATCCAAATTTGATAATAGAAACAAAATTCAAGAACAGAGCTTGCAAAGCCTAGCTTGCCTATGCCGTTATCATGCTCAAACACGTGATGCAAAGCAAACAGATATTGATTTGTTGGGGGGGAGGAGGGGGCTGTTTGGGAGCGATGGCTGCGGCAAAAATTGTGAAAACACCGAAAATCTGACTATTAGTACACTTTTGGAATGGGAACGGACCACAATTTCCATAAGAAAAACTATCGGGAGCTGTAAAAGATTTCTGTGAACTTTGATTAGGAACTGTTGTATTCTATGAAGGTAAAAAAAACTAGAATAACACTTTGATGTTTTTTATACTTAACTTTTGACAACCGATTGCATGGGAGAACCGATTTAGAACAGTAAGTTGGGGCTACTATTGTAAATGTAATGTAATGGTTTTGCTTGATAGTTTTTAACTTGGCAACTTATTGAAGTACGACATATTAGACTATTGCAATGACAAAGATATCTGCATAACTGTTACGTCATAATAAATCCCATGTTTACTTTTTCGAAGCATTGTGAAGAAATCCTCTTACTCCTTCCTGGTTTATGTTCATTCTAAGACAAAATTTTCTAAAGGATTGTTCACGCACTTGCTTCATCTCGAAGGAATATTAAAAAGAAGCGATTTCAACCCATTATTCGTATTTTTAAGACCCTTGTCGTAAATATTTGTTTGGGAACAGTCCTTTCTTCTATTGACTATGGATCGGGCACAGAATGAAGAATTGGAAGTTCAGGCAAGGAGAATGAAAGACCGACATAAGCAGTGGACAATGAATCCACGTGCAATTATTCACGTGCATAAAGTCTCTTTTGCATTCTCATGCATCGTTGTTTTTTACACAGTTGTGTCTGACACCTCCAGAATGGACTTCGCGTTGTACGCCTGGGGTTAATGTTTCACTTTCGCGTTAAAATCTTAAGCATTTTCCCCTCCTCCACACACATCAAAGTGAGCGAGTAATATTGCAGAGACCGGGCGTACTGCGGGGTCATCAACCCCATATTTATTTCCAGTTATGCTGCGTGGCCCCCCTTGATTCCCCTAAAACCGTCACTGCCTCAATTTGTTGCATGGCTCCTATGGTATTGGTCTCCTGTCAGTGGTTTTGATCTTGATTTCAGCCTCAAGTGCAGGACACAACCTCACTTGGAAACGTTACAGAAATGTCCAAATATTTTGCAATAAATGGGAAAGCAGGAAATACTTGAATGTTATTTGATTTCACCTTTTTTTATTCTCTACAACCTGGATAGCAGTTCGGAAGCAAGAAATTACATTAAGTACCAAAATTTTCTGTGGGATTTACTTTTGGTGAAGTAGGGCAACATAAAATTACTCCCACTGAATTTTTTTGAAACCGAAACTTTTTCTTACCGAAATCTCAAACGCTAGAAAAGTCTCGTTTTTGACCGATGGACTTACAAAATAACAAAAACAATTTTTCCTTGATATTGTTTTAGTATTACTATACATCCAGTAAAATCAATTTTGAGTTTCTTGTTCTCCTTCGTACTCAACAAATAAGATACCCAGTTCATCTTCACTTTTTTTTCTTTCACTCTCTACATTCAAGATACTTGGGCTCTTCATAATTATTCCCTTCAATTTTTAACTCACAATTGATCAGAATTTCTAATCCCTTCGTTGCGATTGGCGATCGAATATATGACGAACTGTAAAAGCTTCTAGTTAATTTTTTTATCCTGGGCTAGAAAAACTAAATAATAATAGTCCTCTAAATAATAGTTTATGACATTCTACCCTGGGTACCAGAGCCACTAAATTTCGAGCACGTAGATAGAACGCTCCTCCGCTTCTCCACTCCTATCATCTGTTTCCTCTTCAATTTATGTGGCTCTGGTACCCAGAGTAATGATATTCTTGCCTACTCTTCTGTTTCACATTTATTGGGCTAGCATCAAAATATTCGATTTTCGTAACTTTCATGATTGCGTTCCAGATAATTTTCTGTTGAAGATAAAAATAACTCGCAGAAAGTTTATCATTTCTTTACTCACCGAAATATTCTCCTTCCACCGAATTTTTTCAGGTTTTCACCGAAATTTACACAGAAATTTAAAAAATATAACCGAAATATTTTCCATCGAAAATTAATCAACCGAAATCTTTGGTACCGAATTTTTTGGCACTTTATGTAGTAGCGAATCCGAAAAACCAATGACTACTTCTGTACATTGTCCACTCACTGTGTCGGAGGGATAATAACACTAGACGATGGTGCGCCAAATTTCGTGGTACATTTTTCATTGCTTGGTACTCATTAGAAAAGGATTCTGGAAGTGAGGGCTGTATCCCCAGTTCGTGTTGTTGTGAGTAAGTGTTGTGATAAGTGGGTAAATTCAAATCTTAGGTGCTAGTTTGCTGGGGGCTTGTAGAATTTCTACAAAAGCCCTTGGCTCTAGTTGCATATTTGATACAAAGGAGAGTTTCTTAAGAAGTATTAAAATTCAAACTCCAGTTGTGGAAAATGAAGCGATATCCTATTGGCACCAAGGGCGTTGGGGATGCTCAACGCTAAGGGGGCCTGGTAAGGATCTTGCCCGAATATTATTACTTTATTGCGATAGAACTGCCCTAATAGAGCCTAATAGAGCCTAATAGAGATTTTGCCTGATTAGGGGTGTTGTAGCCTCCCAGCCCCTATGTTTTCTATTCTTATGACTGACACTGAGGATTCTCTGCATTAACTATAATATGATATCCAAGACACAAACCAAATGCAGTGAAATTTAGCAACCAATCTTCTTTGCTGTTTCTAGGCAACTATGACCTCTGTGTGTGTAACACTTTTACATGGAGCTGTTTTTGTTGGTAATTAAACATCCAGCCATATCAATTGCATGTCCTACTTCGCCAAAACAAATGTCGAATAAAACCGTCCGGATACTAGTTTAAATGTCTCTGCGGAAACCTTGTTTTGCTTAAGCTATCTTTAAGGATTTAGTAAATATCATTAAATCGTCCTTGTTGCCCTTTCAAAACAGGAAACAAATATATTTCATCGTTGAACGAATATCGAAGTTTGAGTCACGAACTCAATTGTGATTTCTATATCTATTTTACCAGTAATAAATTGATGCTACAGTGAAAACCCAATATTAATTGAACTGTTGTTGTGATAATTTTAAATAAAAGGTGGTTTTTCACTTCTTATTATGCATCGGCATTCGGCGAAGGGTGGTTAGAACTTCGCAGCCTAACGGATTATTTCCAATTAAAAACATTGCACTCGCATTTGAATTAGGGGAGTGTCAATAGAGTTTCGCCATTTTGCTATCTTGTGATTGCTGTTGCAGTTGCTGTTCTAAACCTTAAAAGAGCTTTATGATGGGTATAGGGGTGTCGCGACCGGTGGGTGTGGAGGGTGTCACACCCCCCAATAGTATCTCAAAAGGAAATTTCAGGTAAAATCTGCTCTGTGGAAGAAACGGTTTAGGTAGATGAGAGACTTTCGCGTTTTAATATCATTAAAGGATCAAGCAAAGGTAGTTTCAAGGATCAACATGGGTATTTTCAAGACTACGGTGAAAATACCCGTTGTTTTTACCTGCTTTTCAATCCGTTTGCAAAAATAAAATGATTTTCAATAGGAATAGGAGGATTGCTTTAATGAAATATGTTTAAATGAGTGTATTTTCCAGGGAACTGGAAGCATCAAAAATCGAAAATTTTCTAGTCCTTCTGTGGCAGCCATGGTGCCGCCTCGCGTAGTAACTTTATCCATTGCACAGATTTGACAAAGTTATTAGGAAAGTCCGTTATTATTAGATAAATGGAAGTTACGAATTATATGCTACAGAGTTAGATTTACAAAATGTAGCTATTACAGAGGTTTGTGACAGCAACTAAAGAGTTCCAGGTAATTATGTTTTAATCAGGTTAATTGTATTCCATAACCCTCCCCCCCACTAGCCCTGCCTCGTCACGCCCCGGATGTTGGAATACTTCCTATCAAGGTGGGTAAACTGGTGAAGTGCCATGAAAATGTAAAACAACATAAAAAAGAAGAAAATTGCTCAATTCAAAAGAAATATGACAACTGTGGTGCCTTTTTCTTGACATAATTTGTGTTATTTACTTAAAAAAACTGGGAGAAAACCGGTGGTTCTACGGACTGTGAGGCTGAAAGCATCAGCTGGGCTTTTCTTCTTTTCTTTGCAATTTTTTATTTTTTGGGCTCCTTCTGGCGTGCAAAAGCGCAGGGCCTTAGTTCGTAGCGAGGTAAGAGTTAATTTTTATCGGACTAAAGACATGAATAAACCTGTCTGGCATTCTGATAAAGTCTTGAGATTTCTAAAATTCTTCTAAGAAATTTCATACTGAGCCCCCTATGCCCCCAATGCCCCTGTTGCCTTGGGGCATGTTGCCTTGGGGCATGTTGCCTTGGGGCATGTTGCCTTGGGGCATGTTGCCTTACCGGCGTGTGTTACGTAAGTCTCTGAGATACAGCCTGGAGGCAAACTACAAAGAATCTAATTGCGACGAAGAATGTGCAGTCGTGAAAATATTTGAAATCCAATAAGAGACATCTTAATCTGTTTTATTTTCTGTTTGATTTCAATTTAACAAATCTGCTTGATAACTGATATGAATTTACCAGAATTTCTTATCCTTACTTTGCTAATCAGATGACTTTATGGGTATATAACTGTCAGAAAATTGCAATAATTGATATACAGTTTAAGCTCATATAATTGATATGTAGTTAAAGCTCGTGAGTTATATGAGTGCTATTACAAATATTTTTGTAGTAAAACCTGTGATAAAACGAAAACGCTTATGCCGAATTTGTTCACTTTGGCCTAAAAGCACACCGGACATAAAAGGGAGCAAAGTTGTTGGGAGGAGGCGAGGGGCAATTCACTCTTGCAAATAGCATACGAGATTTTTCCTAAAACAAAAGGATTTCTGGGGATTTTCAGTTAAAACAATGGGATTTTCACAAAAGGTGTACGAGATTTTTTTGGAGTGATTTGCCCCTTGGGAGGAGGGCGCTTCCAGATTCCTCAGTGTTATCTGATGTTTTCGATTTCCCCATGTGGCAGTATTCGAATAGTTTGAAGACATTGCTCCTTCAATGACGCAGGCACTTTGTAATCTTTTTGCAAGCATCTTGTTATTGATACGTTCTGACGTAGGTCTTTAACCAGATAAAGAATTTATTTCAGAATTTGCTGTATTAAGACCTCGCAGCATGTTAATGTCATCCTCATAATCTATCATCCATTTACCTCAAGAGGAAGTACACTGGATTAGATGTAGGTATTCTGGCAACATTTCAAAAAAGTAACTCTACTTCGAGCACAAAGCCCACCATTAGGCTCTTCCCATAAACTGCCTACAATCTTAACGGGGAGGGGGTCGTAAGTCCATAGTTAGCGCGTGAGCCATAACAAAGAAAGGCTCGTGAAAATTAAAAACAGCAAAAAACTGCAAAGATGCTTAAGGTTTTACCTCTTGAAGATGGTATAAATTACGATAAAATATGCCTGGTGAATTTTCCGATGTATTGTTGCAATCTTCATCACCTTGGTACCATGATAAAGCAGTTCTTTCCTGTCTTAACCCAGTTTTCGTTATCGAAGATTAAATTTCTTCGATTTCAAACGTAGTATTTTAAGAAAGAGTCTTTTAGGAAATATGTTTCAACGAGGAAGCAGCTGCCAAAATGTCACTGTTTCGGATTGTTTCAAATTTTCTTCAGATTTATCCTATGTGTAGAGCATACCTTTCGTTAAAAGACGTCTTTGTCAATTATTTACATTATAGCTTCAATATCATCTTCAATACAACTTTGAAGTCATGAAATAGACTTACCCTATACGAGATTAGGATTTGGTTTCAGGTTGTCCTCCATTAAAGAAGTCTCTGACAGAAGCTTAGTGCCAAGGATCTGAATCTGTGCCAATTTCAGTACTTTTTAATTTAGAGACGACGAAATGGACAAGAATATTCTCACAAGCGCTTCAAGTTTAAAGGAAATTTAGGTTTCAATTAAGAAGTCACAAATTAATTAACTTACAACATTGCGAAAAGATAACATAGGGTGCCTAAGTATAAAGGATTTTATCTCAAATCTTCAAAGAACCTGGCTGTAGTTTTATTTAGAAGTAAATATTTTGTAATAATAATTGGAAATTGACCGTCAACCAAGATCTGTTTTCTCGTCACTGCCCGGGCCTTTTTTAGAGTAAAATTGGATAATAATTCTATTCTAAATGCACATCAAAACCCCTTGCACCCTGCCTCGCAAATAGAATTGTCCTGTTTCTTCGTTTAACAGTAAGATTAAATGCTTTTAAAACTTTCAAACATGTTAAGAAAGTAGTAAATGCTGAAAATAGTTGCGCTTTTTACTTTTCTTTTTGTCATACGGTAACCAAGGGTAAACTCCAGAGCTTTGAGAAGCAATGCTTATCGAACAGTGCTCTGATCTCTCCTATTGACCACGCCTTGCTAGTCTGGAGCCCATAGTTCAATGCTGACGCCTGGAAATACAATGGAAGTTATCATATCTCCTCTCTGTCAATGAAAGTATATTGCGGATTTGAAACTGTGTCACAGGTTTTGGAGGTATCGAAAGTTCTTACCATACCAAAACAGTCCTCATATAACTCTGTTGTATATCAACAGTTTGGACAAACCTTCCTCTTTCTATGATTTTGTTACAACAGTTTCTTTGGTTAAGGTAAAACAATGTCATTTATCTTCCTACTAATACTAAAGCTCTATATACAATGTTGGCTCCTCTTTGTCTTTGACCTATGAAGACATGGGTTCTTCTGGTCCGTGCAAACTTTGTTTCTAAAATTTTTTACATATTGACATGATAAGAAGACACCCCGTGTGATATCCAAAAGACTACACATGAGTGCAATGGCAGTCCTTCGTTGCACAACTTTCCAATTGCAGAACCCTGCCTAGCATAACTCCCTGCTCATACAATTTGCTTTCATGATTTCCTCGTGCTTTCTCAAAGCCTGCATTGAAATATCAAAGTAAGAATTACTGGTAATCTTTAAGCATATTTGTTTATTAGTTAGTGGGCAAGATTTTGGTTCATACTGACCTCCCCACATTTAATCCAAATCTGATTAAATATGCCTGCGGCTCAAATGATTCTCGTCGATGTCAAGGTATGAAAAAATCGCCAATAGAACAGCGATGTATTGTTCCAGTTCAGAAGAACTGAATTCTTTCTCATTGACAAAAAGATGAAAGCATACTTGCATTGCAAGTCAAGTTCTATCAAGATTAAAAGATCATTGCTGGATTCATTGGTCCATCTTTTATTCTAATTGATGCTAACAAAAGTGACTTATTTCAGATACATTCTTTTATTGTTTAGTTCTAACATGCAATGCTTTTAGTAACCGTAAAGGAGTTCCTCGTGACTCAGTGTTGGTTAGAACAGCTCGCTGATCTATTTGATTGTTGAAGCTACCAGTGAACGATCGGAGTAGAAACTTTTGCTTTTTGTAGCTGATAAACGCTTGACTTTGGTGTAGACGAAGGGTTATAGTCGGTGTTAAAAATGGCGGGTAAGTTAAGGTTGTTGGCGGGTAAGGTTACTGAAATTCCTTTAGTAGTTCATGAAATGCACCGTGTTAGCTGTTGTTGGTCTTTTCGGAATGAAAAGGCCTCTTAGATGCGTGTTTAAATCGGTCAATGCGACATGTTGTTGATACAATATATCACTGAGCAAACTAAGTCTTTTCGATTTAAAGTTTTACGAGACCCGTCCGTTGTTAACATGTTATATTGGAACTGTGAATCAGAAAGCTTGACTCTCTTTTAAGAACTGATTTTTTCTTTGATCAGTTCACGAGATGGAAAAACGGAAGGAAAAGTTTTTGATACAATTTTTACATATTGGCCTTTATCGTTGAAGTATTGTCGCAAGTGTTGTAACTGTTTGCCTTAACGTGCCCTGTGGAATGCTATGATAAGAACAAGATGAATACTATCTCATCACAAACAGCATATCAAAAGGAGCAATACCTTTCTGTGTGGCATTTTTCTCTTGAGACTGCCATAGAACAGCGCACTTGCTTCATCTCAAACACAGCTCATGAGTGCTCGAACATTCCATTCCATGTGAAATAACTTTTAAAAATCTGTGTTAGAGTCATAACATGTCCTAAAACAGTCTTTACACGGCTTTATAGTCTCATGCACTTGAAAATACTTCAATTGGTAGAGACAAGATAAAACATGCTAGCATCATTTATGGCATTTGTTTATTACCTTGAACTTCTATTCACTCCAGCTGCTTCATTTGAATTTTTACTTTTTACATTGTGAATTTTAATGCCTTTTTCTGAACTGATAACAACTTTATCTGCTATTGTCAAATTTTGGGGCATGTAAGTTTTCTTGAGAATGTTTCTATTGTTGCAAAATTTCATTGTTAAACTCATTTATTGAAATGCATCAATTAAACTGGATATTCCCCTCTACATCAACCTCTCTACTTTCTCTTAATCTTCCCTGAATCAAAGCTTTTTTCAAGTTCCAATTTTTAGTCTATTAATACCACATTTGCTTGATTTTTGCACATTTTTGCTATCATCTATCTATTTTCATATATTTATTCTAAAATCTTAGAGTAGTAAAATGTGTCGGATGAGGTGCCTTGGTCCCCCCCCCACTTTTTTGCAAAACAAAACAATAGAGTTTTTTTCAAAATCTTTTGTTATGGGTGTTAAATTTTCCCTTGCCCCCCCCACTTTTCAACCGTTGTCGGAGTCCACGTATATGGCATATTTGATCCAATTATATGATGTAACAAGACAACAACAACTGGCCTACGATAGTCCTGCTCACTCTAAGTAAACATAAACCAGCATATTGTTTTGCATTTCAGGCGTAGATTTAGAACCACTCGAAGAAGGGGATGCTCTGCTTCTCCCGAAACCAGAAGAGGATGCGAAAATCAAAACTGATTCTAAAATTGAGGATCATTATTACATTTTGGAAGAGCTTGGAAAGTATGTCAAGCTTTATGCATCGAATACAAACATTTTTGAATGTCGAAAATAGCATTGTTTATAAGCTCAAAAATGTATCTCATATTTTTCTTTTGCAATTCATTACAAATTAAATATTTTTGCACCTAATATGCATTTGTTTCGGTAATGAGCAATGAAATGGCCAACAGATTTTAAAAAATCAGGCACATAGGATTTCTAGGAAAAAGTTTCTGACAAGATAACACAAGAAATCTATATTGAATATGTAAAATATGTTGTTAAAAGTGTGACATCTTGCTTACAGAAAAATGGCCTTTTTCAGGATAAACTATCCTTATGATTATTCTTCATGAGTTAATCTATCAAAGTACTAGGTGATACACCTCCCCAAGTTTTTAAATACTTTGAAAACTGTTTAACTTTTATAGAGGTAAGTTTGGCGTTGTAAAAAAGTGCCAAGATAAAGAAACAGGTGCAACGTATGCTGCCAAATATGTAAAGAAAACAAAGCAATCGAAGATAGATGTTACTCAAGAAATAATGATGATGGGCAAACTGCATCATAAAGGCCTAGTCAGGTTGATTAATTCATTCGAGACACCACAGTTTATGCTTCTTGTTATGGAGCTGATCACTGGCGGAGAATTATTTGAAAAGGTTGTTGAGGAAGACAATCTGACTGAGAGACAAGTGGTTAGGTATCTGAGGCAAATTCTATACGCAGTGCAACACATGCATCGATATAACATGGTTCATTTGGATCTGAAGGTACGTAACTAATTGCTGTGCCCAATGCGGCAATACGATAAGTAGAAAGTATTTGAATTTTGGGGCATTTTCTGCAACACTGAAATATTTCGATGATGATTTTTGAGACATTTTAGAGATGATTTTTGGGGAAACTTTTGCGTCTGAAAATTTTCTCTATATAACTCTCCTCTGCAAACCAAATGTGCTTCTTATGGTAATTTTTGATGTTAACGAATTATCGTATTTTTCGTATAGCCTGAAAATATACTGTGTGTTGGAGGTGACCCACCAGGGTATGAAAAACTAAAGCTGATAGATTTTGGCATGGCCCGTATTTTAGAGAAGGGAAAAAAAGAAATAGCTGCTTGTGGTACTGCTGAGTTCGTTGGTACGTAGCTAGCTATAGGATAGACTTGAGATATTGTAAATGGGAGAACCTTTTCAAGTGTATACAGAATCAAGTGTCATTCATATTTTTGTTCTCTCGCCTCGGCCTAATTGAGATGATTTGTTATTTCTTGTAAAGCCAGTATATGTATTGATATGTACGGAGTAATCATTTGATAAACTTTAAATGAATTGGCTATATATTTGGTGCGGTATAGACATGCCTAAAAGTTCCTTGAGATAGTGACAATTTGGCAATGGCCATTTCTCGTCTTATTTAAAATTAGTGTAACATGATTCTATTTGATTTTTTCATTAATATCTAAGATTATGCTGTATGTAAAGAGATTAATTTGTCAGAAAAGAGCATTGAAATACAGTTTTTTATCTAATGCTTGCTGTTGATTCTAGCTCCAGAAGTTCTTCGGTTGGATCCAGTCACGTTGGCCGTAGACATGTGGTCCCTGGGTTCGATCACATACGTGCTTCTCAGTGGCTTGTCCCCCTTTCTTGGTGACAGCGACAGCGAAACACTGATGAACGTCTCCAATGGAGAATATGATTTTGATGACGGTGAAGGGATCTTTGATCAAATTTCAGATGGTGCGAAGCAGTTTATTGAGCAATTACTTGTCATGGATGTCGAGTAAGCAACATTTAGATTCTCTATTATAATATGACGCTGTGAGCAATTACTTGTCATGGATGTCGAATAAGCAACATTTAGATTCTCTATTTTAATATGACGCTTTTTTCTAATTACAAGAGGATGTACAATAATTAGTTGAGGGAGTTCTGGTACGTACGCTGTTAAATATCAAGCAATACTTATTTCCAATTTCTAAAAATGTATGCCCAAATTAAGGGCTTTAAACATATGCTTGATTGCACTTTTTATCAAATAGTCCATATTTCCCTTTTGTACACAATTGGTGTTTTTAGGTCATGTAGTTAGGCCATGCCTCCCCCCCCCCCACTTTTTTGCGAAGCAAGTAGTTTTATACCCTGGGTACCAGATATATAGTGAGTCTGGTACCCAGGGTAGTAGTTTTAAAGCTGCAGTAAAAGGGGAAAAAGCCTTGGCCCCCTACTTTTGCTAGCCTTGGCCCCCCCCACTTTCAAATCCATGGCGTAGGCCCTGAGTTATTTGCTCAAACTATCACCAGGAGAGGTTCGATACTGAATTGGCGTGTCAGCTTTCAGGCGAAAAAAGAGCGCCCCTTTTACCTTATTACGCAAAAATAACACAGATACTTTGAAATGCGACGGATATTTACGCGAGTAATGCAACCGATGAAGTTTTCTATATTACAAGTAAAATAGCGGAAGCAAGAATCTTATATCTAATTAAACATACCTTATTTATCATATTTTACACACTAGTTTTTAAGCTAAAATGTTATTCATTGCAGGAAAAGAAACACTGTTGATGATTGCTTGGAACATGAATGGTGCAAGGTTGGATGCTTCTGATACCTATCTTTTGAGCAACATCAATGTTTCTAATGTAAAAGTTTCTCAGTGAATTACTTTTCTATCAATACATGATCTATAAAAATACACAACAGTTTTCTTACACTAAAACATACAGTAACATTTTTCATCTGTAGCCTCGTCAGGTTTGTTCTGACCAGGAACATGGTGGCCCATCAGGACTCGGAATATTTTCCGGCAGGCCCCTTAAAACTTTTCATATGGGAAAAATTGCACCCCTTTGATTTTTCTTCCTTTTAAGCAACTATCATTTGTAATATTAGATTTGTAAGAGAAAAAACAAGTGAAAAGAGGCCCCGCGCTGCCTCCGTGGCGCTCATTTTCAACATATGATGACAGCAAGAAATAATCAGCATCAAAATGGTAGGCCCATAAAAAATTGATTTTTCCGGCCAATGAAAATTCCCACCACGCCCCTGCCTCTTGCATAAAGAACCGTTCTAGAAAATCAGTTTGAGTGGAAGAATAGTTTTTGAAAACGAGGTTATAAGCAGCTTTTCAAGGCACCACTGGTAACTTGATCATTTAATGATTTTTAGAGTAAAACTCAGAAAGCGCTATGTATCTCCCTTTCTCTTCCCCTAGAAGCAATTCACTGTTAAGGATAGCGTACGAGGTTTCCACGAAAGCAATAAGATTAGCATATATGCATTTATGATATTGATTTGCATTTATGCTTTTAAGCTCGTTAAAACAGGGGTGCAAAACAGGGGATAGCTAAGTTGTTGAGGGGGCCAAAGTCAATATTTTCCTGAATATTCTAACAAAGTAGCAAAAATTTTCGACAGTTAGGAAGCTGTCCCATTGCTGCGGTGCCCCATTTCTTGTGTTAAAGAACAAAACCCTTCAATTTGCACCTCTTAGAAAAAACCTGCAAGAACCGCTTGCTAAATAAAAAGGTTTTGAAAAGAAAAACTTGTACATTTTAAGGAGCATTGTAATTTGATGTAGCTTGTTCGTCTGATTTTAGAGAGCACAGGAGAAAAAGCTGAAGACTGATAAGCTGAAGAAGTTTATTGCACGAAGGCGTTGGCAGGTTTGGATAATTTGTGTGCTCTTAACTACAGAATGTGAAAATTCTATTCAAAATAATGTGCAGTATTTTTTGAAACTTTGTGGCACGAAAAGCTTTTTTAGAAAAAACTTTCTAAAATTGACATTTTCCATTTTAGAGTGAAGTTAGAAACCACCCCGTTCCTCCTGCGCCCAGATCGACCAACCCCCTCTTAAATTACGTTCTAAGTCGATAATAATGCGATTGGTCAAACAAGTTTTTAGTGGGCTGTTTGCTTTTTAAAAAGGAGATTTTTTTCTATGCAGAAGATAATGTACGTAAATAGTGTTCAAAGGGTTCCTTTTTACTCACTTTTAGACAAACCATAGAATAATTGGGTAGCTAATCAGAGATTTGTTCCCTACTCAGAAATTTGTCATAACCTCGGCTAAAACAAACTTGTCTTAGGCATAAAAATATTCAAACACAACAAATATTCAAACCAAATATACATAAGTATGTTCCAACTCCATCGATCAATCCTTAAGTGTTTTAAGCTTATTATTTTCCAAGAAGCAATTATGTACAGTGTTATTTTTAAAGTTCATCCATGTAAAAACCTTGGGTGCTTGACCAAACCGGATGAAATTTGATTTTTGATGAGGCATTGTTTACACCCCTGCCTTTTTTGCCTGGCCTGGCTTAGTGAGAGCATTAGAGAAGCATTTTCATCAAAGCTTCTAATTTCTACATATTTGCTTAAATCGAAATCATACTTTAAACTAATAATTGCATACGATGTAGTTCTTTATTTTACAGCATTCACATGCCCTTGTTAGCAACGTGCATACAAACAAGAATGGGTTGCTATAAACTTTTTATGGAAGCCCTGGGGAAACTTTCTCAAAAACAATATCAAAAAGTAAAAGGGGAAACTTTTTCTCATTTGCAAGGGATCTAAGCCCCCACAGCTCCACAGCTCCACAGCTCTTCACCCCTGCTCAAAGAACCTCGAAATCAAAATATACCATCCGTTTTTTGTAGCGAACAACAACCGCTTTGAAGGCAGTTCAGCGACTTGCGCACTTAAACTTGCACAATTCCTCAAGTGGAAAATCGAATGGTTTGCTTAGTCAGTTGGCCAACGCCCGTAAGAATGGATCTGCCAGCAGCGAAGAATCTGATGATGCGAACGCAAAGTCCGATAAAGATATCAATGGTAATGGTGCCTCATCTGGAGAAGAAGCTCCAAACAGCAAGACCTCAAATGGGAGTCAAGACATCGAGCCAAAGGAGAAAACAAGTGTTAAAATTAGCATAAATGGTTCAGTTAAAATTTGAGCTTGATGCACTGAGCTTATCTTCTTACATCAGGAGTCGAGGTATGAGATTTTAAGCTAAAGAAGGTTTTTTTTAAAAGTTGATTATTCCTGTCTTTTCATCTTAGTTTAAAAATTTTCAGCTCCAATGACACCTAGAAAGGAGTTACTTAGAAAATTGAAGAGTAGTCTACGATTTATGACTTGACTGAGGCAAGAGCTTTGTTGTTCATAGAAGAGATGAGCAGAGCACAGGATGTTGAGACCGAAGGGGTCTGGAAGGGAGCCGCAGTTAATTCCTCGTGACCACGCCCTTCGACTCACCGGAATGTGCAGGCAACGCCTTTTAAGACATTAGACGATTTAAATGTGTTTCCGTAACATTATCTTTGTAAGATTCTGAGCTTTGGAAATTGAGATTAAGAATATCTCAGCAAAAACACAAAACAAAGACCAAAAAGGCCTTTACTTTTAATTTCATTTTATACAGTTTCAAGTCAGGCCAATGCTTCAATTGAATTGTTTAAAAGTGTCAATTTCATATAATTTTGCAATTTGCAGCGTTGGATCGGACCAAAACCCATTATTAAATGCTTGTATTCTGGATTGCGACTCGTAAATTTAAATCTTAGGAAATAACTGGGTAGCCCTGCCACTCGCAGCCCCCATATGCTACCCACCTTGAATTTCTTTCCGGTCTGAAGGTTTGATTTCATTTGACAAGGAGGCAAAATGTTCAGTTTACCAACTCACCATCTTGGCTGAGAAACTCATCTCAGTTGCCGCATCCTTGCTGTCTTCAACTCTGCTCCCCATTGATACCACAGCTCTCTTTCACCACCAAAAGTCATGACCTTGCAGCTATAAAATTAAGATAAATGCAAGCCTTTTTAGCATAAAACGCACAAGTAATTTGCAAATGGATTTTTTGCCCCGCCCTTACGTGGGTACCTTCTCAGCCTGACAGCAGGATTCCTCTTAGTAGGTATAAGAATCTATTCACAACAGTCCAAAGATTACTTTATAATAAGTATGTATGTTCTATTGACACAAACTTAGCCTATCTTTTCTTTTTAAGTTTTGAAAACATCGATATCAGCATGATGATCTTGGCAGTGATTTTGGACGATCGAGAAGAATCTTCAATTATTTGCCGTGCTTTGGTGAAAGCTGACATAAAGATGTTTATGCATTCAACATAAAAGCAGGACCATGTTTTCTGTACTTATAGACCAGGGTTTGTTTTCATTCGTTGCTTGGTAAAGATTTATAGATGATTCAGTATACTCGATTTTCTAACTTTTATACACAGGACCGTAACTTCTATTGTTTTTAGGGGGAATCGTATCCTTCCGAAAGTTATAAAAATCCTTTGCTTCCAATAAGCAATCGCTTTGGTTCAATTGCTAGTAGGGAATCCCTCTGATAACTCTATACTTTCTACGGTACTGATACATAAACATAAAAGCTAATTTTATATCATTCTTTTATTTGCAGAAGCTAACATAAGCTTACATTCATGATGCAAAAGGGGTTAAGGCTTAATTATTTCATAGCCTTCTTACATTAGGTTATTTGAATCCACAATCTTTTCTTTAAAACACTCCTGTTATGAAGTCAACCTGACAAAGATGACGAGGCTTGATGAAAAGTTTCGGCTTCTAAAATCATCTTATAAAATGTATTTTTTAACAAATGTCTTTGTTAGTATTAAAAAATCAGGAAAGTTTAATAATCTTAAGTTTTGTAACAGGATAATATTCATTAGAATTTCAAACTTTGTATCCAGAGTTTCAAGAACAAGTTTTTTGTCCCTACCCACCTCTAGCAGCTTATATCATCTGCTAATATATATATAAATATTACATATCCACACCTACAAAACGACTAAAAGTCAAAATAAATTTCTAGAGAATGAAGAAGGGGTGTTCTCACATTGTTCTCACAACTGATTGCATTATAGGAATCTAACTTCTTTAAGTAGACAGTTGGTTTTGTACACTTGTCTACGTAATTTTCTGACACTCTATTTTTAAAGCAGTTTGACATATTTAGAAATTAAGCCTTTCCTTTTACCAGGTTCAGTTAAATTAGAAGCTTATTCTTTAGTATTGGAAATACCATGAATTCTTACATTTATGAATATTTACAGTAAAGTAAAACTAAGGACACTAATCAAGGCGTGAGGCATTTGCAAAGAACTTTCATGGTTGGTCGGAATTTATGTTCATAAACAGATTGCTGGTATTATGCTTTTATCGACTAGTGTTTCAAATGGATTGCAGAAAAAATTAGAGCTTATTTCTCTTGCAGTTGAATTTTTGTAGAGAACAGAATAACCTTAGATTTAAGAATCATTTGCTAACCAAATCACGAAAATTTTAGATGAACAAATGATTGTAAGATAAAACTGTTACTGCTGCATAAGCTACACTTCAGAATTAGCCCCAGTGTTGCAGTTTCTGCAGTTTCACAATTCAATTTAGCGCTCAAACTTGCTGGCCTAGCTTATCTACGAGGCATGTAGCAGCACTCTGGACTAATGATGAAATTTTCGTAATGGTGGGAAAAGAAAAGAGAAAACATCGGTTTCATACTGCAAAATCTTTATAGCTTAAACAATATCATCAATTTTCTTAGATCTGAGGCCTTATTGTTTCTTATTGTTGTTTCTTATTTCTTATTTTTCATTTATACAGCGCTTGTAATTTCTTGTTAATCAGCATCTTACGTTTAATGCTTCATGTAAATTTGTTCTTTCATTTACCAAAATACATATTGCATGGCATGAATGTATTAATGTAGTTTTAAAGCATTTGATTTGCAATTATAGCTGGTTTTTAAGTTTGTTTCGAGAAATCTATTTTTGAGTTTCAAACTACATTTAACGACATCATTACATTTAATACTCGATAAGAGTAGATTGATTATAATTTTTTTGAAGGCTGAAATAACTTGCTTTCCACGAGTTGGATACTTGGACCAAATTTTGTTGTACTTTACATGAACTAATAGACATATCAATCTTTTAGTTCATAAACGTGTTCCTATTTTCTTAATCTTTTGCATTGAATGTTTTAATTATTACTGTAAGAAACGTTTATTAAAAACTCAGTACTGAGGCTTTCAGAAGGTCCAAAAGTCTCAGTTCTGGCTCAGAAATCTTTAAAAAAATTCAAATTTGTGTGTTTTTACAAAGAAATATATATTTATTTTCTTTGGTAATCCAAAAATCCAGAATTAAGGAAACTTGAGCTTTTCTGTTACGAAGTTTTAGTGTTCATCGGAACATCGATCGATGATTGACTAAAATGTCCATTAAACGACAAACGTGCTATCTTCAACCAGTGCGATCTATTTTTTACGTGCAGATGACACGGAGCCAGAGAGATGCAAACTGTTTGGGCAGTGTGTAACGTGATTTCTACTGACTGATTATAATTTACAAGAGTTCGTATTGATATAGAAAACTGGCAAACTTAATTAAGAGTTATACAAAGGAAAGGATATGCTCGATGGTTAACAATGATGTAATGGATTAGGTTAAAATGACGTGTAATTAACATAGAGAATGATGAATATAGAATTACGTAGGTATGCAGAAGAAGCAATGATGGATTGTATAAAATGGCCTAAATTGAATCACTACAAAGTAATGTATTGCGGAAAAATCTGCCGTCATTGTTAATGCCACATCTTTGCCTACCATTTTGAAGGCTGTCGTTATACAGACAAACCGCAATGGAGTAAATTTGCTACACTACTAAAAAATCTATTTGTTTTTGAGAAAAGTCCCCTCAAATTCCCTAAAAATCCTAATGTTCTTGAAAAACCTTGTATATAGTTTGAAAATGATACACTCCTCTTGAAACGCAGTGAGTTTTTAGTGGATGCCTTTGGCAGATTGTAATGAATTCAGAATTCTAAATTCTCATTTCTAGAAAAATTGAAGTGACAATACCGCCAAGCTAAAATAAGTACATAAATCGTGCGATATGATACACAAGAGACGAGTAAATAATACACAAATGTATATTAAAAATCATTAGGGAAATTAAGAGAAAATACCGACAAAATACAAATGTGTTACTAAATCAATTCAAAGAGACAAGGCCATTGAACCGAAATGCTGAGCATTGAATCAACACAAGTAAGGCATGCAACTTATTAACAAGCTGTGTTGAAACAAAGTGGCTAATATTTCCTCTGGGCTTGAAGAATTTCTGAAAATAGAAACATAACGTTTATAAGCATAGTCTATTTGGTCAAGATTTTTCAAATATTTTTTCCTTCAAAAAATCATCTTTTGATGCAAAAAGAACTACAATGTCTGCCAAAAGTACTTGGAACACCCAGCAATTTACGCTGCATTTGATATCTTTCATTCCTTTCATGAAAAAAAATGCTACTTCCGCCTCCTTCCCCCTAAAACAATGTTGATAATTTAGAGAAGTATCATCAAAAAGGCTCAAAAGAAAGTGCTTCCTAAAATCCTAACCCGTTTGATAGTAAACCAACATTGTTTTGTAGGGGAGAAGGGGACAGTGCCTAATTTAGTGTGGTCTTGTACACTAATAGTGGTTTTGAAAATCCAAATTGTGGTCTTGAATTCAGGAATTAGTGGGAGGATTGTCTCTCTAAGCGTTATGTTTATTAAAAAATCTTAAAAGTAAATGTAAATTTAATTCCTCCATGGTGTATTTTTTCACATCATATTCTAATCGTTTTATGTTTCAGAAATGCATTTTTAGCCAATCTAGGGAATTCAGTTTTAAAAATTTTCTGGGCCCCCCTAGAGGGGCCGAAACATTTTTAGGCATAATTAGTGGTATTGTAAAAGTCCCTTGAATTAGGCATTGGAAGGGGATGATTCATTTTGCCCTTGGAAGTTGACGTCAGGTTTCCAAGACTTTTGGCAGGCCTTGTAGTCTACCAGTTGAATATTTCCCTTAGGAAACATCTCAAAATTAATTCTTCAATCTGTAGTAAACGCGCCCATTTAATAAAAACAGGATTAAATTCTTCAATAATTAGATAAGTGAAACTCGGTGTCAATAAGAAAAATCACGGTAAGTAATCGTTAATAAAACTACGCTATTTGCAAAACACAAATGAAGCTATGGCGAGAATGCTGTTTAGCTGAAATTTGACTACGGTAATCTAAGAATGGTGGAGAGGAAAATGTTTGACCCCTTCATAGTAAGAAATTGTTTGATTTCGCAAAAAGATAGAGAGCGTTTGTCAAAGCAGTGCTTTTTACAATGAAAAGTATGAAAAACATGTCTTACAAAGCAGCACAAATATCACAAGTGGAAGAAAAGACACAAAAATAGTGGGAAATTGTAACCAAAGACTAAGGAATGTGCTCTAAGATAAGCAAGATGTGCTCCAATGTGGAGTACAGGTCATAATTCATACTCATCCATATGTCTGTATACTGTAATTAATAATGAGATTTTGCAAATACTTTGCTTTTGTATGGATTTTGTGGTAGGGATATTGGCCAAGACAAACGTTTTCAGGCAAAAATGTGTGAGTCCTACTCTCAAAATGTGGCTAAAATGTAACACAACTTATCGCTGCTGAGTTTGCTAAAAACCAGTTGAATTTTATAAAGTCTTAAGAGCCTAAATGAATTTCAAAAATCTAAAATTTAAAGCAAAACGAAAAAATTAACCAATATTTTGTTGATCAAAAACATTTGGCTTATCAATTTATTTTTTAAAAAATTATATGAACTAATTTGACAGTCCCGAAATTTATTCATAATTCTGAAACAGCTAAGGTTTTCAGTTTGACAATCCAATCCTCAAAATTCATCGGCAATCTTGCTCCTTACTGACAAGTATTTAATATTTCAACTAAAATCCTCGCTGAAGTTGTGTTTTGTGCTTACAAACGTGTAAGCTTTTGAAATTGCTTCAGTTCAATCATAGAAATATTGGATAGATTCTCTTTCAATGGTTAATTTGCCTTATCTTGAGTAACACGGCAATTGGTTTGAAGGCGTGAAATCGTGAACTGAGAAAACACTACTATTAGAATTTATCCATTGATCATTAGCGTAAACTAAAATTATGAGTCATTAGTTCCTAGGCCCCTAGCTATAGATGAACACTTGCATTATCGTAGTTCATTCATCTTCTTGGTGCTATCCTCCCTCCTGCCAATATTTGCTGCAAACAACAATTTTCTTATTGAGATGTCCTTTATTTACGGTCTTTAATTAAACAGGAAAACTTACTGCTCTTTGTCGCTTCAGTTATACTATTTTAAATAACGCTTTGATTCTTTGTGCTGTGCTTGTAATGTCTTTTGATTGTTTAGCTGTAAGACGAACCCTGCAGACGAACTGGCTCACTTCCAGATCTTTCATTTCAATAATAAAATTATGCTGGTTTAAGGTATTTTCGAAATTCATTTTTGTTCTTAAACAGTGGACATATTCAATGTCATTTGTTAAAGCTCTTAATTTACATTTGTGCACCAGGAAGCTACTATTTTTAATTTTTAGAAAAGCCTTTTCAATAGGTTTGACACGCATTTTATCTAAGAGTTTCACAGCACCCATATATAGAGACATTGCTGCCAGTTTGTTAGAGCGATCTTACTTTGCCCAACAGATTCTCTTTCAAAGCTACAGAAAGGAACTGACTCCTTCCATGTTGTTGACTGATACAATTTTTGTGTTTATGTACCAACTGAAATTTAAAAAAATTACCAAATAGGTTGAGAAAATGACATGATGCAAAGATCAAGACTTTGTGTTTTTTTCTCTTTCAAAAAGTAACGTCAGCATTTTTATCTCACCATCACCAGGCTTTTCCAAAATGTTATTATCTACATGCAACGATATGCAACTTTATGCACCATGTACCAAAATAAGAAGTGACCCATTGCCATCCCTGGTATTCTAAAACTTGACTTTCTATGTTCCTTGTTTGTATCACAATATTTGGAGGAGGTGCTTCTAAAAAGTCTATGTCCATTTAGAAGATAAAAGGACGTGAATCATTTCCTTAGCATTCCTTTCTATCTGGAACTTCTAGGACAGCCGTTCGATTCTACGTTCATAGACATGCTGTTGTTAGAGGAGAATTTCTCTAGGCTATGTCACTAGAAAACAAGAAAGATGGGCAGTTGGCTTCAATTGTTGGTTCACAAGTGCTTCATTCAACTTTTGTTGAAAAGATTGAGACCACCATATCATCTGAACCATTTTTTATGGACGGGGTGGAGGTGGGTTTGTAAATGTGCCTATTAAGGACATGTGCCTATTGAGCTGTCACCTGTTTTGTGCCTATTGTACACACGGAAACATATGGAGCCAAATGTCATTGCAGTAAAGACCACGAGTAAAATATTGTACCTTTTAAATCTTGATTAACAGGGATGGCTAAATAGAGAAAAGGGGGTTTAATATCTCGTGCTACCAACAATGGGACTTTTAGATTGGTGGGTGGGGCCAAATAGGGAGCTTAAACATAACTAAACTTAAAGATCATTCGAAATTTATAAGTTCCACTTTTTAGTCACGCATGGCTAAAGCCAAAGAGAAGCAGTGTCGAGAAAACGAGGCTTATGCTCCTTCAGCTAAAATGTGAACCTTTTTTCTTAATTGATTCGGAATATAAGAATCTTAATCCTATAGTTCGATTGTTCTATTGGAGACAAAATTTCACCTTGTTGCTAATTTGGTTAAGGATCGTTGCACCATGCGACACACCCTCTAGTTTAATCATAGTCATATAGGACTTTCTCTCTGTTTGTTTAAAAGGATTATAAAGGACTGCGAGATCACTTGAGACCATTCCCAGAAAGTCTTGTCACTGGGAGCATAGTGTTTCACTGCTGCACATATTCTAACCATTAAGGACATTTGCTGACCCAATTATGTCTGTCAAAGTTTCTGTGAACTTAGGAAGCTCGCAACACAGAAGGAAACAACCAAAAAGAGGTGAGCAGATTTTCTTTATGCCAGTCGCAGTAATCTTTTGCTTGAATCAATATGACATCTTGAGCGCTAAAACAAACTTCTATAACGTCAAGGGAAAGTGCTCATTTTATGATATTCACAGCCAAAACATATCATTATGGATTGTATTAACGTATTTAAGAGTGTATTCAGTTGCTTCTAGTAGATTCAATGTCTCTTTGTGATCAGCGTGCGGATACATACCCATCTTTGACTACAATAGTTTTGAGACATTTTAAACCATTAAGAATACAAAAAGGATTTAAACGTATTAAAGCGAAGAAGTCTAAATATTTGCATGTAGGTTTTTATCATTTTTAAGGTCTGTAAACGCTCTATAGAAAACAGATTTTGCCAATGTCTTATACTGTGACCGGATCCTTTAAATGGGGACAATAAGCTTCCGTCTTTGGAATGTCATGAATTATGCAACGACATAAACATCTGATGACTCCTTTACCAAGCTAAACTTTGAATTCATCGTGCAAGATTGGTATAATAGAATGATGGTAAATTCTTTTACCGTGTCCCTTCACCTCCAATTGAGGGGGTATATGACTATTTGAACAAAAGCCACGTGCCAGCAAAAAACGATAAATATATTTTGCATTTATCGAAGGGACCACAAATAAATGCTTCTAATTTCTCAAAATTTCGCATTCCATCCGAAAATCATCAACAGACATAAAAAATTACGACGACAAATTTACAGGGACGCACTTGTCAGTAGAGCATGGCAAAAGGCTCTTGCATTCAACAAAATATCAAGAAGCTATAAGGATACAAGTCGAGGGGTTATAATAAGGGAGGGCTGCTAGAGTAATTCTGTATTTTACCAGAACTGGAAAACCATTAGAAATAACACACAATACCATTAATACTCGAGCATAAGTTTTGAAGCATACTGGTACCAGCAATTTCATATTCTTTTTAATCAAACAGCCATAGAGGAAGTTCCGATTTTAATTTCAAAAGTGGACTATGGCGTGCAAATTTAATATTGTCTCATTTCTGCGAAAGCGCCCGTTGAGGTGGTTAGCTCATTAAACAGACAGATCCCTCTGAAGAAACAGCCAAATCTCAAAATTAACAAAGCTCTGTTTATCATAATCTGCTTTACCTTTTATGAACAATTGCCGAGCCGGGTTTAGGAGAGAGCTTCTTTGTTGCAATAGGGTGTGGAAAATATTTGACAGAAAATTCCAACTGGCAAGATGCTCCGTGTCAGAACCTGAAAGTTTCACATCTGTTGTCTAAAAAACGTTTACGAGAACGTCATTCAGCAACAAGATCACGGCAGTTGTGAATTGACTAGATTGGCCTAGTTATTAATAAAATAAGAAACTTTCAAAGGGTAGCTAATTGATTTTTGAAAGACTTGATTATGTGTAAAAGCCTTTCAGCAATGGTTATAGAGCGTTGTCGTTTATTCTAGTTTCAACTGGGAGTGAAAATGCCTTCGCTTTACTAGCAGTAGAATATTGATTTAAATAATGCATTCTCTTTTCAAGAAGGTCCCGTAAAACCATGCCTTACACAGCCCAAATATCTGGAGTTCACCAAAGTCAAACCCTTTATAAAAAATTCCTGGGGGTTGTGAAATTATATTTTATATGATGGTGTTCTCGTATTAAGCGAATTTCTACAGATACTGCAGGAATTCTTTCTGCATACTGTTTTGGATGAAATAAATGTTTGTGGAGCGCAGAAGCTGGCCAGATGATTGAATGCAAATATTCTGAAGTGCAAAGTTAATAAGATTTTTAGAATTGCTTTTCTCTGTTCTACGCAAGGTATTGTTGTAATGTTGCTCAACCAAGAGTTGGAAGGCAAAAAATGGAAGGCAACATTAGAGTAAGACAGTTCAGAAAAAAGCTAGGAAGTCCAGACAGGCTACGAAATCTAGACGGCCGTTCCAAAAGATCATAAGTTGAAAGATCAAGGCCAGTTGTGGGTTGGGCTATTTATCAATGAGGCGTGGTTATCTTGTGGCTATTAAGCCACGTCAGTGAAGATTTGACAACCTTCCCACAGAGCCCTCAGTTTTCTTAACGAGAAAATTTTGTAAAAGAAAAGAGAGTGCTAAAAACCAATTTAGCGAACAATCAAACCGAGCGAAGAGTAATCGACAGTGAATTAAAACTGCTAGACATTAAAAACTAGATAGAGTTGGGAGAACCATGCTTTTTCTCATCAGAAGGCAGATCTATAAAGTGCCTATCAGCACTGAAGAATCCCTGTGTACATCAGCCTGAAAGAAATATTTCTAAGTGAGGGAATCCTCTTTATATATATACGCCCTATTGACCAAATAAGGATAACAACAAAAAGAAGCCTTAAAGGAGCAATTAAATAGCGGTCTTCTTTGCTACAGAATCGGCCATTTGTAGACCCGTATCCAAAAACGAGAGGATAATTTCCATCCAAATATCTTCTTTGCCCATCCTAGTTAGAAGGTGAGATGGCATTTCTCATAGTCGAGAAATTTAGGACCATCTCTAGTGTAAATACAGCCAGCAAAGTTTGCCCAACTATGAAAAGCAGGATGGAGTTGTTCTCCTTTCATAAAAGCACAAACATAATCTCCAATGGTTCAATGCGCATTTATTGTTATGAAAATGCCCTGGGATTATGACTTGTTATTCATGGGGTCTGGGTACTTACTCTTGTTCTGTGCGCTGTGTAAAGTTGTTTAGGAAGGGTCAGTTTGCGAGTCCTCCTGTTTCAACAGCTGAGTGTAGAAGAGCGTGCAAAAATGCCCAAGAAACCAGGTAAAGCAATTATTCTTGTCTAAAAGTAGTCTCACTTAACTCTAGTTCAAACAGCCCAGCGAACTCTCTTTAATTATGCTGCCTATTTTGATTTTCTGGCACCAGGTGATTTGACAACTTGCATCAACTTTGCCACTCATTTAGTTGCTATCATATGCGTCTGATGATGATGAAAGCTGCTCCCTGCAACTTGCCTCAAAACAGGTGCTAACTGCCCAGCTAGAAAATTTTGGAAGGGAAATTTTGGGGATATTATTCTTTTTTATAGGTGATGTGGTTTGACCCCGAGTGAAAGATAAGATGTCCCGATAAAGGATTTGGTGATTTATTTGGTAGCTTAAGTTACAGGTGCATCGCAAACCAATGAAATAATGAGTGTTTATAGCCTTTCTGAAAGTTATTTGCGAAGTTATTGGTTGAAAATTGTACTGTACATCTTTTGGTGTCCCAAATCAGATTCTGTCGAGACCCATGCATGGTGGAGACGAGACCCAACAGAGTACTATTTGGCGTCCCAAACTGTTGCCTGATTTTAGTGAAAGATACCCAATAGTTAGCCTCTTGCCTGCGCGTTTTTTTAATAATTCTAGATTGAATCCTTTTGAAAGTCGTTTCCCCTGATTCTTAAGGCTACATCTTTTTATTCGCAGGCCAGCTTTATAGTTTCACAAATAGTTTGAAAGTTGTAATGTCCTCCTTAACTCTCAGATGAAACAAGGGCTGACTTTCCTCTTTCATTGTGCCATTGGGAGGTGCAAAAAGAATTCCCTACCCAAAGAGTCAAAGAATGAACACCATACATCCTCGATAAATTTGGATTATGAATTCGGACAAAAGAATTTGATCCTATTTAAAGAAATTTCCATATGGTTTTAGCCTTCTTAGAATTTCATAATACTTTCAATCCCAAGCACTGAGATTATTGATCCCGAGGAAACAAGACATTCCTACGCAGAAGCTGAGCCATACCTACAAGTAGATCTCGTTGTTAATATTTTACTCCCCTACTTCTTATTATCTTTGTAAAACTTTGCAAATCCAAACTTTGCACAAGAAATTTCCCTGCGAGTCAATGTTTGATTTCCATTACCGACCTCTATTATTTTTCTTCAAATACCATTTTACTTATCTGTAATTAATCCAAAAAAACTAAAAATACTTTAGCAATATAGAGCTCTGCTTGAAATGTGCCAATTTCTCACAAAATCTTCCAATCGACTTTCGTGATGGGGAAGAGGCTACTTGAAAAAGAGGCTTCTCTTCTCTAGAGAAATCAGCCTTGCTAGAGTCGAATTTTTAGTTGAATTTATATGTAATTCGTCGATTATAAAGGTAATATTTCAATATCAGTTTAATGTTTGTAGTTTCTGTTATAAAGAAAGATTTTCACTAAGAAATATGCGTTTGTGCCTGTAATAAATGAATATAAAATAAATTTGAATTATTAGGCCATGCATTTTTGCCTTTTCCAAAAGTTGCTTTCCAGCTTTTTTAGAAACAAATGATTGCAAATGTTGGTAATTGTAATCCATGCTTTCCTCTTTTTTCTACAGTTTTCCTATTCTTGGTTTTTATTTGTCATTAAGAAACAGTCAAAAAAACCAGATATAAATCACAATTATTATCAAATCAATTTACTTATAATCTTTTCCTCTGCTCTCATTGAACATTGTTAAATTTTGTATATTAAATTAATCAATTTCTACACAGGTATCAAACTTAAAATTCAATACTTAATATATTTTTTCTTTTTCAGCGGCACCAAAGTTTGTTGAAAAACTTAAAGATGTAGAGGTCTCTGAGGGCAAAGCTGCACGCATTGAGTGTGTTGTTTCAGGGGAGCCCGAGCCTGATATTGATTGGACATTTGAAGGACAGCCAATAAAAGAGGGTGGCAGGTAATCAAATTCATTAAGATCTTTGGCCAGCAGCATCTTAACAAAAGCATGTTAGATGCGGGGCTATAAGGACTTAAAGATTTGCTATGAAAATGGATTTTTAGTAGTACATATTATTTAGTTGTACAAACAATTTTAGGAAAGAAATGCCTTCATTTAGTTACAATATAGGAACTATCTTATGATCATTTCCTGTCTTCTTAGGTTTTAGTAATAATTAAGAAAAATTTAATGTATTGTATTTAATTTAATTTATTGTATTTTCATTATTTAATAGGCCAATTTTTACTTGGATCCTTGCAAAAGTTTTTTCCTTATTTTCCAGGTTTAAATTCTATTTTGAGAAGGATGATGTTGTTGGCGTTGAAGTAAAAAATGTGTCAGTTGATGATGAAGGATTCTATGAATGTATAGCAACAAACAAAAGTGGAAAAGCCACATCAAAATGTGAACTTCTTGTGAATGGTATGAAAGTATTGTTATTTTTGGGTAAAAAATATTAAGTAGGATAAAATTGCTTCTTTCAAATCATAGATATTTATTTTGTAGAGTAGCAAAGTGATGATATTCTGGAGATCATTTTCTGATGGTTTTTTTAAATTTGACCACATAAACCAACAGAGTTTATGTGGTCAAGTGCCTCTAAGGCTTTGATCACATTGGAAAATTTTTTAGAATCTCTCAGTAGAGGGTTTGAAAGGCATTTGTTGTGTTTTTCAACTTTAAATGGTTTATGTGCTTGACCTGTCAAAATGGATGACAAACCCCTTTTGGAAATATGTTTTGGCTACCTGATGTTATTATTTTTTTAACAAAAAAGTCTCCATTGGTATATCTGTACCTATACAGCCAATGCTTTCTTCTCCCAAATCCTGGCCGTTATTTAAGAAGCAGTTTGCTCTTTTGCCTGGCTGAAATTCACGTTCCAGCTCAGAAAATTAAGATGTTTCTCAGTTTTCCATTTTTTCTCTGAATGCTTGTGAGCTAAAAAACTCAATACATGGATGACAGTCATCAGGTACATATCCGGACAAATGCAGTGCTTGCAGAAATGGAAATTTTTTGGCAATGAATCAAAATGGGAGTTTTGAATTAAAGGGTTATTTGTGCCAGAGGAAAATAGGCTTAAATGTTAAATGCCAGTTAAATCTGTTTCATATTAACTAAGACACATTCAGTGAAAGATCTATTTTTAAAAAAATAATTTACAGTTTTCAGACCTGGTTCATAAAATTTTGTACCAAGATGGTACAATGGTTTGATGAGGTAATAGTCTATGGTCACCTGGCCATATCTTGGGCAATCTGTAACTGATCTAATTGATTTTGCCCACTATGCAGTATTTCATGGCATTCTTTCAGGCCATATCTGCAATTAATTCATCTGAGTTAAATGACTTCATAATTTCGCACACTATACTCAAACAAAAAAGTATTAATCTTTGACCTGCTAAATGATATTTGAGTCAGTGAGGCTGCACATTATTCAATATGCATCACCAGGTATCTCAGATAGAATGTTTTTGTTGAAAGATTTAATAAAATCATTAGCAATTTTCATTTTTACAAAGGAATTTTGAAAGACTAAAGCTTTCCTTGATGTTTTATTCCAGAGATAAGGGCTTGCTAGACTTATTATTGATATATATAGAATCAAAAGTTATTTTACAAATCACTGTATTTGTTTTAATTTTGATATGTTTTACATCAAAGCAGTTAGGTTGTGCTTCTTTCTACTGATTTTTGATAGTATTAAGTTCCTTTGTTAATCTCATTTTTATATTTCATCTTTAATATATATAAATACCATTTCTCTTTATGGAAGGCTTTTATTTACAAAAGAAAAAAGTTTTTTCTTTTAGAATGACTATATTAAACTTGTGCTGGAAACTGAAAGTAAATACCAAGCTACTTGCTGATTTTGAAATTTTCGCAAAAATATCAAAGAACTCAAAATTGTTGAAATCTAGAAAAATTTTTTAACTTGTTAGAATTTTGAAAAAATGTGTTTTATAAAATAGTTTAAGTGGTTAAAGCTTAAATATGGAGACTGAGATGAAAGACAAGTTTTCAGAGTATGCTATGTTTTGACAGTATCATAAAGTTTGTATAAACCTATATATTATATATTTGATTGACAGCTCCTGGAAAGATTGTGAATGCCCCTGAATCTGCTGATGTTAAACCTGGCGGTACTGCAACATTCAAATGCAAATATGATGGCAACCCAAGGCCTGATGTTAAGTGGTTCAAAGGATCTAAGCAAATCAAGGATGCAGACCACTATATTCTAACCAATAAGAGCCAAGTTGCCACTTTAGAAATTGATGGTGTTAAGGATGATGATTATGGTGACTACAAAGTTGTTGTCAGCAACGAATATGGTGACACCGAACATGCATTCTCTTTGAAGGGTGGAAAGAAAGATGATGCAAATGGTCCATCAACTTCTGCAAAAAGTAAGATTGCTCACTTTTAGCTCGGTTTTATTTTAGTTTCGATGAGTTTATGTTACATATAGTGATAAATGTCCTTCCTAGACTCTAGGATACTTCTTGATTGATGTAATTAACGGAAAGGCTCGCATCTAATTTATTTAAGTGCTTTAGCTAAGTTAATTTTCAAGCGTATGTTCTTGGCTTATTATACAAGACTAACCTGAAAATCAAACCATGGTCATCACAGCTATTAAAGTATAATTTTCCCTCCGTTCAGCTGCTTTCCAAGAGAGGAACGCTGATCGGGTGTATAAACCACCAGTGAGGAAGACAAAGAAGAAGAAGTTCCCCATTGAAAGAGACGGCATTTTGAACGAGAACCCTGAAAAGTATTACGACTTTGGAGAGGAGATTGGCAGGTAAAATCGTTCTTTGATCTCTTTTTATCATTTAATAATCAAGAAAATCACCATTTAATTGTCAATGGTGGACGTAAAATCAAGCTCCCTTTCTCGTCTTATATTGCCTCATTGCAATCTCTTCTTGTTGGTCAACGTTTCTAAACGAACCCTGACTACCTTGAACAAAAATTCAGGTCATATCCCAACTGTTAAGAGTTGAATTTCTAAAAGTGCAATAAAGCATAACAGCACTGCCTGGCAGGGGCGAACACTTGGTCAAGTAATTAGGGGGGTAGCAAGCCTATTGTTTTAATAAGATGACATCACATTTCCCATTGTCTTAGAACAAAAGACCATTGTTCTCCAAAGTTTTGGGGGGCCTCGCCCCCCCCCCTAGGTGTCCGCCACTGCTGCCTGGTGTTATTTGAAAAGATCTAAATATTTGCTGACATCCGGAAGCACGATGAAAGAACAGGAAAACTCACAACGAAGTAATTTAATTTGATTTTAATAGAAGGTGCATATCAAAAGTTTGGTCTATGAAGTCGAAGTAATATATTTATTTTCTTTATTGGACTTCTTTGAGAAATTGATAAATGTTCTAAGCAGCCAATGTTGGGTTTTGTCTTTAGGGGTAAGTTCTCAGTTGTCAAGCACTGCGTTCACAAGAAGACAGGTGAAGAATTTGCTGCTAAGATTATCAAGTTTGATGACGAAACTGTCAAGTTCGCCGTCCGTGAGTATGATCTGATGGCAAGCGGCAAGATGGACCACAGGGGTCTTGTCCAGTTGCACGAGGCCTACCTCGTACGGAAGTACTTGATTCTCATTCTGGAACTGTGAGTAGTCTTTTCAGTTAGATTTTCTTTCTTGATCGATAATATGTTGTTGAGATAACTGTGCATCATGGATGGATGTTATTCGTTTTTTTCGACTAATTTTCAAAGAGGGAGAAAAGGAAATAAAAAAATAATATTGGAGAGTAAAATAGAAAACAAGAAGAGAGAAGGAGGAACCAATACAGCTGTATATTAGAAACAGTCGTATATTAGAACAAAATTCACATTATAATCAAAGCTAGTACCTTATATAATCTTGAATCATGTTTTAAGTATTGTTGTTATTTTTATGGGTAATGTTGTGATGTTCTCTCAAATATCGAGAAGCTTAACCATGTATCTATTCCTGTATGGTTGGTTTTAGCATAGTAAGCCAATTAGCATGTATGGAAATCTGAATTAGAAATTAATTTAGGCCTATAAAGTTTTCCTAATTTTTAAAGACTTTAAACATTAACTGTGCAAAGATTCAGTTTTAACTATGGCACACCCCTAACAGCTCTTTTATCCCATATCCTAATGAAGTGTTTCGTTAATTCTTAGGGCTGCTGGACAAACACTATTGACCTACATGTCAAAACGTCACTCACTCACAGAAGATGATGTAGCTCACATCATCAGACAAATGTGTGAGATTCTTGCCGACATGCACAAAAATAATCTTATCCATCTTGATATCAGGGTAAGTTCACTAAAAAGATCTAAATGGCTATCTCTGAAGAACCTCTACATTCAAGGACATACAGACCCCTTTTCTTTGACTGAGCACCTCGTAATGAAAAACATACTGTAGCTTGACACGTCTCACCTCTCAGCTCGTGGCCTGGCGCAATCTGTTCTCGTCCTCTCTCTTTACGGGCCTGGTCACATGCATAGTAGTTGTAGTTAACGATTCACAAAATAAATTATCTGCACAAGTTGGAGATAACGTGTTCCAAATTTTCCACAGCCTACCAACATCCGCATGGCTTCGATTGGCTCAAAAGAAATCAAGCTGGTTGACTTTAACAGTGCACGTATGATTGCTAACAAATTTGCTGGTGAAGTAGTGGATGTCATTGGTGACACAGAGTTTTGTGGTATGTTTATAACCAGCTTCTTTTCAAGTAATATTTTCACGTAATCGTTTGTTGTTTTTTTCGGACAGAGGTAATTTCAATGAAGTTGGCCTGAAATCCTTGTTTATGACAAGCCTGACTATTCAACATTATAAGCCGTGTTCCAGTCTGCTATTTTGTTGCTGTTGTTATTTTTTTGGATTTTAGGACTCACAAACTTTTTTAACGTTAGTAGCAATTACAGCAAATATGTAAACATTTGCCCAGAACACAGTTGAAAGATACCTCAATTTAAGCTCAAACGCAGGAACAAGTCCGTCGCTATAGAGGGGACGTGTGGGGTGTGATTCCTCCTTGAAAAATTCCTTTGCAAAAACAAGGAGTTTTTTGTCATCTATGGGTGCTTAGTCGGCAAATTTCCAAAGTTGCTGGCAGGAAACCGATGGCTCACCCCCTTTGTCGGCAAATGGAACTTGGAAACTTGGGCACAATAGCTAGCGATGGGCCTGCACAGGAATGACAGTTTTTTGGTACCAGTCTCATCCAATCGTGCAGAATCTTCAGCCAAGTTTTGACTATGAACACTTAAACTGGCTTTCCCAAAATAGTACGTCATTCCTACACAGAATGCCCGCAGACTCTATGCTGGACAAATATCATCCGGTGCTGGACGTATCCAGCTTAAAAATCAGTGTATGCGTAATCCCTATGCACTGTAATATTATAATTTTAACTGTAAGCCAGTCTTTTCATTCAATGGAAATTGTTAGAACGTGGTCAGGTTTACTTAACGATTTGCCTGTATTTTGATTTTCCCAGGCTGATAATTTTTCTATTCTCTTGTATTAAGGAGGTAGGTTCTTAGATTGATTATATTTCGTTTTTATTTCAGCCCCAGAGCTGTTGAATTTTGATCCAGTCCTTCCAGGATCAGACATGTGGAGTGTTGCCGTAATTACCTACATCTTGTAAGTTTTATTGCCATTTAACAACAACCAAGGCAGTACTTATTGCCTCAAATACCTCAGGGACGGTTTTGAGCGAAAAGTTGTACAAATTTGATACTGATGAATTTGATTACAGTAGACATAGCCGAGGCCAGCCTCTTTGATCAGAAGTGGGCCAAATCGCGTAATATCGAAGTTCCAACATATAATAGCTGAAAAGAGACAAATATACGATCTTTGATAGTAATGAAAGTTGTGTTACGAGAAAGGCTGTATCACGTCATTCTTATCAATTTTGTATCTTTGCACTATAGAAGCATTATCACTAATATATGTACTATATGAGCTCATGGTATGTACTTTCAATGCACAATCATAATCTGTTACAGGCTCAGTGGCATCTCTCCATTCTATGATGAAGATGAAGACAAGGTTGTTTCCGCTGTCCAGAAAGTCCAATGGTCTTTCGATGAGATGTCTTTTGAAAGAGTGACAACAGAAGCCAAGGATTTCATCAAGAAGTGCCTCCTTCGAGTACCAGAGTAAGCGAACATTATCCACCCGTTTTCTGTGAACTTAGTAAAGTGTTTGCTGGGTTAACCTTTTAGTCGATGTTTGAGTGAGATAAACATGAATGTACTTATGATAGATTCATGTCGAACCTCTTTCTGCTCAAAGACATTGTTCCAGAAAGCCAAGAAGTTTTAAACCCTCTAGTATTGAAAAATAACTTCTTTTTAATGCACGTCCTCACTTAATGCACGCACTTCTCCTTAATCCTTTCTCATAACAAGCCTTATTCGTTTTAGCTAGATATGCGTTGAATTATTTTATTTTGTTTCAGAATGCGTATGACAGCAGCTGAGGCTTTGAAGCACCCTTGGTTGTCTGTAAGTAAAGGTTTCCTGCATTTATTTATTAAATCAAACGAAGAAGAAAGTTAAATATGAATGTTTCTATAAGTTTTTAAGTGCCTTTATATGTCTGTACTTAATTTAACAAAATACCTTTCAAGAAATGATCTTCAAAACACTGTGTTTTTAGTTTAATATTTCTTGAATTTGCAGCTTAAAGTGTGATTTAATGATATCCATTCCAATCTTGGCATTATTTTTCATTACAATTTTAGAACACCTTTGCTAGAGCTCGCAAGAATTCCCAGATCAACCCAACAGAGCTCAAAAGCACAGACAAGCGTCTCTATTCTGAGGTAAACAATTTTAAAAACCACCTAACATTAAACCATCTAAGATGACAAAGTGCATTTAGGTTTTAAGTGATTTCGAAAAATATGTGTAGCTGGCTTTAGGTAATAATATAAACTAAAACGAAAGAAGAGCATCTGGAATCTTATTTTATGCGAACATGTGTCCTGGCTACCCATTATTTCAATTAATAAATAATTGATCGGGTTTCATTTCATTTCAATTCAATTCAATTAACCTAACGACAGCAAAAATGAGATATGGTATTTTAATGTTTTCAGCGTTGAGGGATTTATTAAAAATTCAGAAATTGGCATTGCGTATTCAAAAACAGAGTAGATTTGCGTGTAGCATCAAATAATGTTTCTCACAAGAGTTTTTCTGAGCTTGATAAAGTGCTGAGAGATTTAAGTATGATATATGATACCACTTTAAAAGAGTCTGTTGGCACAAAGAATTGATTTCTGTTATTGAAAGATTGGTAGATTGGCAGAAGATTATATGATCATTTTTCTACAAGTTTGTTATTGTAAGAGATATCTTTTCTTAAGTGCATAGAATCATTATGGCTTGTAGTTATGTTTACTAGTGATTTAGCGATTTTCCTCAGTTGCTTTCAGATGTAAATTGTAAAGTTAAAACTACCTACCATTTGCTTGTTTTAATTTTTGTAGAAAATGTGGCTGTCTTTTTCTTTAAATCTGCAAGGCCTCTTCAAACAATAAGGTTGTTTCTAGTAAGGTCCTTCTTTAAATGCTTAGGGAGAATGTAGATGACCCTTTGTAAGGAATGATCCAAAAATGACTGCAACATACTACGCAGTTCATATTTTATTTTGAGAGATAGTTCCCGTGAATAAAAAAAGGTATTTTAAAATGCTTTAGGCGAGATTAAAAAAGACAAGAATATATCTTTATTTGGTGCTCAATTTTGTTTTCTTTCGATGTTCTCTTTCGACTTTTTAATTTTGGATTTTCTCTTTTGGGTTCATAGGAAGAAGAGGAATACATCTGGGCGTCATTGGTCTTCCGTACCTTTGATGAAAGCGAGTATGAATCTCCAGAATCTGACGAAGAAGACGAAGAGGAAGAGTAAAGATAAAATGAGGATGACAATTCTAAAGGTAATTCGCTAGATTCTGAGACTTAGACTTATTTACAAACCATTACAAACGTAATTAAAATCTTCTTAGCTTGAGTGTGTTGCCCTTTCCACTCAGATTTGATCAATATCCTATTCAAACCAGCCCTTTGTACCCACCTCTTTTACCTGTTTTAACCTGCTGTTTCATGTATAACTTTTACATGTTGCAACAGAAGCACTTCAAATTTTACTATTTGCTAATTTTATGTTGCTATACTGGCAGCTGTCCTATATTTTGCCAAAAACTCAAGCTTTTCAAGTAAAAGCATGCATTACTAGTGATTTCCATGTTCGGTTTTTCAAATGACATTTTGTTGTGTAAGCACCCCAAACGACTACTTAAATTTTGGTTTATCCAGCTACTTATCCAGCTACCAGCTACTGATTATTCACTAGACTTCTGGCTTCCTGGAATTTTGCTCCCCTAAACGATTACAAAATTTCTAAAGGCATACATATCTTTCCAAATCATTTTTTGTAGCAACAATGTTTAATCTTTTACCTTTTGGACCGGATTTTATGTTCAAAACTGACAGTTCCTTTTTTCTGGCTTCCAGAAATCAAGAATGCTTGTGTACCATAAAGGCCTTAACAGACAAAGAAAAGCCAGGAAGCATTGCTTTCTAACTAATCTTTCTCGATATTCTCTAGAAATCTTAAACGTATGAACTCAACCTGTTAATAGTATTACGATTTAGCATTAACCAACTCAATATCGTTTTGCCCCACTCAGTAACACTATTTTTTAGAAATTGCTTTTTGTAAGAATGTTGTTAACACAAATTTTTTAAATTTCCTGTTCAGTTTATAAGAAATGGAATTACTTTTCTGCTATGTAATTCCTTCATGAATTTTTTAAAATTGCATATGACATGTCGTGGATTGTTTGCTATTTGCTTGTCCTTGATTTTTTATGGTTTTTCTCGATTTCCCAAACGGGAGTCCTTGGCAAGGTTAATTTACGGTCCGTGCTTTTCTCTTTGTCTGATACATCTTTATCAACTTTATCTTGATCGCTTTATCGCTAAAGCTTTATCTGCCAAAAGTAGAGTTGCATGTGGTGTACTTTCCAGCTTTTTTATTCGCATAAAATTTCCCATCCATGGGAGAAGCCAGATGGTGTTGAAAAATTAATGAAAAAAAATAATGCGATTGGAGAAAATCTCCTTGAAAAATCTAGTTTTATTCTTATCACACCATTTGTAATTAAAAACAATTAAAAACAAAATTAAAGAATATTTGTGTATATTTCGAGATAAAGAGTATTCTCTAGCCCAGCTAAATTTTTCTTCACCAAAAGTTGATGCATGCGATATTTTAAAGTGAGTTGTGTCCAGCATTTACTTATTTCCAAAAAAAATTTCCATGCAATTAAACTCTTATAGTTCAAATACCGGAAAATTAAGATTTTCGCAGTAACAAGAGTGCTCGATGCAAATTATACTACAGCAGCCTCGTGCACAGGTCTACCCGCTAGGTACATATAAACGAGTTTGTTTTTCTACATGCATTCAAAGTTAATCAGCTTTGCATGCCTGTCCCACAATTTGGTATGCAAGTTCCATAACTCATTCTTTCCTCCAAGATCGTAAACTTCGGAACGCTCAAAGAAGTCAATTAAACCTAAAATTAACAAGTTTGATCTCTCCTCCCTCTCTTCCAAATCCCCCCTCCTTTCCCTTGTTAGGGCTTCGTTATAAGCTCCCGTGCCTTCCTAACATCACCAACTGAGAAAAAAATCTAAAGTTAACTTTCCTACTAGCCCTCATTAGAAAATCGCTCTCATTTCTTATTCTGGCTTGGATTTCTGGGTTGCCCCTCTACCTTAAAATGCTCTCTTCATATTGTGCTAGCTATTCCTACCTTTCCACTTGAAACAGGATTATGTTGAACATAAGCCAGAGCTGAGGTTAATAGGACTAAGTCATTCCGCGTGTGAAATGGTTGGCATTCATCCTTTTCTCTCGATGAATCTAGTCGCATGAAAATATTTATGTTCATCTACTGACACCTTATTTGATAATTTGCTTTGTATCTGCCAACTGAAATCAGACGATGCCTTCGTATCTGGATGCGGAACCACATATTTACATCTCAGGGAATTGCTGAAGAAGTCAATTCAATCCTATGAACTATTCAAACTAAATCTGCATCTATTAGTTCGAACAGAATTCAGAGCATCATAGCACTTAACATTATCTACAAACAGCTAAATCATATTTACACTTGTTTAATTCAACCCCACGTAACCAAGTCTGTAGCAAGTTTCATCACATGTGTGAACTCGAGGTTTCCTTAATTTCTAAACAATTTCTAAAAATGTACTTATATTGTTAAGCCATATTGAAAGATAGGCCAAGCTGCACACACCTAGTAATGGCCTTCATTTTCCATCACGTTCTACTTGCTGTCGCTCGGATAAGCGCAAATAACGACATTCGTACAGATCGTCTACTTTCACTGTGACGGTTCTTTTAGGTCTATCCCAATTCCTCTGCGGAAACAGCGGTTTTTGACGGTAAAGCGGTGGAAGTAGGGGCGGTGGGCGCAAGCCAACTCTCGAATCGTTGCTCTCGTTATCGCTTTCGCTCTGATCTGCTATCTCTTCTTTCTTTTGTTTAGAAAACTGGGCATATCGCATTTCCTTTTTCTGCTTAGCTCTCCTTTGCGTATGCGGAGGTCCGTTCGGTACGGTCTGTTTTCTCCCGCGCCCTTTGATAAGGTTATCTTCCTGTTCCAGCTTGCGCACCCGTGCGGCAGACATCATACTTTTGTCTGCCAGAAGCTTCTTTTCCATGCTTATTTTTGATTTAACAAATCTCACTTCTTTGTGTATCAGTTTTTCCGTCCTTTTTAAAGTTCTCTGCTCGTTCATATTGTCTTGTTTTACTTTCCGATAAAGCCTCTCATGAAGAACAGGTCCATCATACACTCCATTTATCTCTTTATCTGTTGCACATTCACCTTTGAAAAAATTACCCGACATGTTATACTGACTGTGCTTTATAAACGTTCTATAAAGGCCCTACCACTGCTTTGTAACTTTTTCTTCACCGAGATCTCGTCATATTCTGTTCTATTTTGTTTCATGTTTGGTTACCCACCTCTACATTTCGCTGATAATATTCGTTGATAATATATCTGCGTCTATCCTTGTCTTCTTCTTTGCTAATTGGAGACTCAAGTAAGAAGATCTGCTTCTTTTAAGTGAATTACCATTTGAAAAGCATCGAAATGATTACAGCGTTAGAGAACTGTCATAAAAAACGGTTTATTTCTGCTGCGCATTCGTATAAATTTACCAGAGGAGGTCAGTTACATAATAACTTCCCTTGCTAGAAATTTTCAATAGCAAAGAAAAGGCCAGATTAATTTGATTCACAAGTTGGAAAAATCGATTAAGCATCAGCAGTATCCTGTTGATTCTAAGTAGAACCTGTTCTTTTAGAGCTCAAATATGTACCATTGCCGTATGGGAAATACCTAAAAGCATTTCTCCGCATAAACTTCTTTTTACATCTTCTGCAATAGACTCTCCAAACTCATGACATCACAGAAGCAATTCTGCAGTTGTAATTAGACAGTGTGCTTTATATTGACCATCTTGTAGCAGCTCTGCTTGACGATATTTAGGAAGGCTTGTATGCAGTTGAAGAATACGCACTTTAATCTAGGCCAAGCTCGCGAAAACAATTTGAAATTTCTGAACACGAAATCCAGCTTATTAATGATTAATTATCTTCTTTTGCCCTGTTATAAACAGTGACTCGCACGTGAATTCTCTGATCACTTGCTGAAGCTGAAGAATTCTGCTCAATGTGATAACAGATGTCATATACTCTCCTTTCTAACAGTATTTATTGCGAAAAGTTGACAGATCTTGTCGCTAGAAAACTCACGCGCTTGTATTATTCGACTAGCCCTAATCTCGGTAACGAATTCTTAAATAATAGATGAAAATCTTTGCGAAGGTATTACAAGAAAAATCTCAAGCCAGAAGAAAATTCGACCTTCTTAGGAATTTATTTACCACGGGAAACCACCAGATGCGCCGCTCTGCAACCCAAGTAACGCAAAACTGAATATTCATGAGTTATTGATAATGAGATTTTAATCGTATTATTCGTTTGAAAGCAAACTATAGTAAATTATCTCTTCTTTATCCACAAAGTTGTTTGTATACAAACGCAACTTTGCCGGATTAGTTCTTGCGAAAAAAAATTTGAGCAGATTACAATTAGAGACTTATTTTGCATGTCATCGGAAATTGTATTTTGCTACATTTGCTTTGAATCTGTGATTCCTTTGTTATTCGGCTAAAAAATAAGCAAAATTAAGATAGCTTTTATGTAGGAGTACCATCCAACTCAGCAAGAGCTTGCAGATGTGCTTTGTTTGCACCAGTCGGGTCCCAAAAACAGTTTGCATAGTGCCTCTACCATTGAAAGCTGACTTCAATTCGAACTTATATTTCTCTTTTATTGGGGAATTGCTTCTGCCGTCACCTCAGGTACTTCTGTGCCAATCAGAAGACTTATAGATATATTCTAAACTCCTTGTAACAAGTACAAAACCACCTCATTCCGAATAAAATTAGAGGATCAGCTTTTATTGTCCTTTCAAAACAAATGTGCCTATTTGATTTTCCTGATTTTTGAAAGAATTGCTGGTGAAAAGATTTTTGTCGATACTGAAATGTGACAGGCAGGCAAGTAAGAGGTTTCTCATTGCACTTACGATCAGGCATTAATTTAAATAGCTTTCATCACTGCACAAAACAGCGCAAAACGCAGATTTTCGCGGCCATAAGGGTGTGGCTAAGTTTTGACTGGACCTCTTTGGACGGACCAAAAACGTTTTACATTATTTTCAGGGACATTTTCAGTGTAATTTGGCCTAACTACATCTACCGCTGATTATGTATAGATCTTACCAGAACATATCAAACCTGGCCAAAAGAAAACAGAGTAGCAAACCCAATAACAGGGAATTTTTTCTTCATTTCGACCCTATGGAGTCAATATAGTATTTCTTTGTGAATGGGGAAAATGGAGTGGAATGCAATTACTGTGTTTGTAAGTTATTGATTGATCCTTAAAAGGCAAATCAACTGTTTCTAGCTGTTTCTTTTCATAAAATGCTGTTTTTAGAGACTCGATCTCTAATCATGTTAGATATTTCAATGTTCTAACTTCTAAGAACTGTTCAAAACACAGCCTTACTGTATATTACATATTTTCTATGTAATATGACGTTTGTCTATATAATACAAATCTGTAGCTGCTACTAATCTTTCAAAACTATCCCTGGCTAGCTTTATGGATACCCAAACCAAAAAAATTCTTATCCAAATATAAAACAAAGATAGAAATGGTATTCACTTCAAATAATTTGTGGTGTATTGTGTTTCATACAAAAGAAGAGAAGCAGGCCGCCATTTGATGGTTGTAGTGACATTGGGTCTTTTTGGCCATGCAATACAAGAAAGCCCAGGTTGTCGGAGGCCCTATGATTATCTGACAGAAGAAGCTTCCCTGCGAGCGGAGCGAGCAGAAAATTTTGTGACCACGCCTTTTAGACTAACTTAAAATATATTTCAAAATATTTCTAGCAGTTATTTTCTTGATATCATTTGAAATTTTTTGTTATTTTCAAGGCATGCTTTTATTACATTTGATTAATTCCAGTCTTAAAATTTACATAATTACTTTAAAAGACCCCACAGACCTCGGCTTATTCCTTGGAATCTTAGCAATAACAGATTTATTGCACTATTCTTTTTATCTATTTTTTTTCCAGTATTCTTTCTTTTTTCTTAAAAACACTTTTTGTATTATGAAGTGCGTTTGTGATTAACAGTATATTATTTTTTGTGCTAAAGCTGGTTTTAGT